GCTAACCGGCCTCTAGATGTCGACCAGGAACCGAACCCAGAAGCTCTCGCCGCAGCTCGCGACCTTATCGCCGCCGAAGCATCTTCTCAACCTCCCCTGCCGACTTCCAATCCAGAACCCTCCTTCACGCCCACCATGATAGCCGAGCTTGAGCGCGTCTCCAAATCCACACCACTTACGCTGCTCGATTTAAGCCGCTACGAGGCTCCTTCTCCTAGCGCCCCTCCGGCGACCGCCCTGCCTGCTGCCGCTATCGCACAAAGCTACCTCTCCTCACGTCTCACAAACCTCGAGCTTCTGGAGAAGTGGGGAAAGAACGCTTGGCTCTTAGGGAACCATGGACTCGAGGCAGAGCTCCAGGCATTAGAGCGTGAGTTAGCAGCCGCCAAGCGGGAAATCGATATCGTGAATCTAGAGAGGCAGAAGAGGCAGAACGCTGTAGGGGCTGAGATCAAGACACTGGATGATACTTGGCGCACTGGCGTCGGCCGGGTGCTCGAGACCGAGGTTGCGGTTGAAGAGCTTCGGAGGAAGATCCGGGAGGAGCTCGCGCGGAGGGCCACAGACGGTCAGGGGCAGTAACTACGCCCAACATGGAACGTGAAGGGGCAGCCGGATCGATTTGTAGGATTTTCCTTATCATATCAGGCGTTTTGATACCAAAACTTGTGTTTTCAGTCTTCGTTTTAGATTCTTCAAAGGAAGGCACATGGACTAAAGTTTCACGAATTTCTTCTAATTTTACAGATTGTTCTTCATTGCTTAACGGCGTATCTCAATCTCGACTTTCTTGCTGCTCATGGAGTGGAGAAATGTAGCATAATGATATTGATATCAACCAAGGTCTCTGATAACTAGCAATACTCGTCTCAGGAAAGCGAAGGTGGTAGAAAACCTCACAAAACGCCATGTCAAAAGTTAATTCCTCCATCGTTCATTTCTCAATCCAACCCTGGCCGCAATCGCTATCAACATTTACACAGCCAGCACGAGGCAAACCTGACAACACCAAGGCTCACAGTGATAGGAACTTCCGATGTGTCCAACAAGCCTCAGTCTCATGCCTTCATATATCCTTTCTTTCGACTTAGTCGGTGTGGAGAGGATCCATCTCTTCGACACCGGTTGCAACACCCTGATACTTAGTCCGTCGTAAGATGCCCTCTACAGGGCCCAGAAGTCGCTGGAAAGCGTTCTTGCCCAAGCTACCAACCTTGACTGGAGACGAGGCAACGATACTAGCTGCTCGCGGGGCATCATTAAGCAAGGCGAGCTCGCCAAAGTAGTCGCCCTTCTTGTAATGGCGGACCTTGTTGTCAGGCTGTCCAATGTAGGCATCTGCTTCACCACTCTCCAGAAGGTAGAATGCATGGCCGGGGTCTCCTTCGTTGATGATGACCTCCCCAGCCGCAAATTTCTTTGTTTCAAGGGCATCGGCAATTTTGGAGCGCTCGTATGGGTTCAGACTTGCCAGAAGTGGAACTTCTTCTAGGAAGCTCTCATACATGCGTCTCCGAGCAAAGGTCGACTCCATAAGAATACGGCGGAAGGTAACACGATCGAGTGCCCATACAGTGCAACCGGGCTCAGCTGAGACAACGGTCGCAGCTCGAGGTGCATTGTACATTAGTGCCAGTTCTCCGAACGAACCACCAGCCTGAATGTTGCCGACTTGGTTACCCATGCCATCCGGACCGGGTTGAAGCGAGCCAGCAGGATTGACATATACATCGAAAGACCCCTTCTCGACGACATAGAAATAGTCTCCAGCATCGCCCTGGCTAATAACCTACAGCATCTTGTCAGCATTCCGGTTCAACGCTATGTGTGTACTACTCACTTTGATACCTTTAGCTGGTATCGGCTTTTCAACAAGAGCACCTAGAATCTGAGCGCTCTGTTCATCCTCGAGATGGCTGAAAAGGAAGTTTCCTTCAATAGCGCGCTTGAGGCGCTCAAGCTGATCCGCAGACTTCTCGTGAAATGGAGGTGACCAATTGTCATATGAATCAGCACTTGGCTTCAGAGATTCGGCAGAAACTGATGTTCGGCGACCAAAGTTATACTGAGCAGGGTAGCTATCGGGGTTTGGGAGGTTTCGCGATGGAGGAGGCGCCTCAGCTGAAGAGTCCCCTCCAAAGCCACCACCAAAAGGGCCAGAGAACATGGAGGCGGAGTTTGGCGAAGACCCAAATCGAGGGTTTGTAGGAGATGTGATGGTATCGTTCTCATCTTCTTCGGCAACAGCATGGATTGCATTGTTCGTCCTCTTTCCCCTGTCTGTTCCAAAAGGGTTGCTGTTCTCCCCAAAGGGGCTGGAAAAGGGCCCAGACATGATGTAGAGTTGAAACAAAGTTTGTTTTCTTCGGACGGATTCTAAAGCTATCGCCCAATAGCCAGAAAATCGATCCCTGTCGAGTAGCAGAAGGTCGACGCGGATGAGGGGTATCGCGGGGCGAGTGAGGAGAGGTTGCTCGTCGTCAATTGTCTATTTTCGGTTTTGGTTAGCTTGCCAGTTTCGAAATTGCTTGCCAGAGATGATACATCGAGTAATGCGCAAAGGTTGTAAAAGGCCAATGATTGGGACCAAGAGCGAATCAAGGGATGTGCATAGGAAATGAGGAGACAACAGTAAGTGGCAACGTGGTGCCGTCACAGGAATGGTGTTTTGACTTACAGCTACTGAAGCGCTCTTATGGCCGAATCAATAAGTAGATAAGCTTGTAGGAGTGTCAGAAAGAGCTGCAGCTGAGACTAGGAACGAACATCAATGGCATCTGGATGACAAGGGATGTTGCGTACAGGAAAAGTCCCGGGGGGCATGCGCTAGAGGTGAAGCTGGACGTGGGTTGCAATCCAGGCTTGTAAAGTGACGTGTTGTGGCGGGGCCTAGATCAAGACCCTGGTGCATAGCCCATGCACAGATCAAAGAAATGAAGCTATGAAGGACAAGATGAAGGGTAATGGTGAAACGTTGAAAGGAACTGAATTGAGGGGATGGGTGTAACGACAGAGCTTGGTGTCAATTGACACGTGCAGAGCCGGCCATCCTCAACGATTTCTCGTTGAAGGAAGTGCCCCAGACAGTTCTAAGCGCATAACTCTGGTAACGAAACTTCCATTGCAGATGGGAAGGGGTATGACAGAAAGAGACAGGCTTTATCACTCACGTTGAATCCTGGTAACTGGACCCTTCAACCTGAGATATGATCAAGCAGGGTGACGATATCCTGTAGGGCTCTATAGATCAGGGGACCAGGAGCGGTAAATGGGTCCAATCCAGGATCTAACAAGAGACCAGAGGGAATCAAAGGGCGACAGTAATCTCGCGAATGAAGGTTGATGTCGAGCAGCTTTAGAGATTCACAATGTCGTAATGTTGAAGGAGATGATGAAGGGGTCGGGAAGAGGTGAGGAGCAAGGTGAGTGGGGTTCTGTTGCTCCAATCCCCGCCTCGTCGTCAAAGAAACTGATGGCGATGGAGAAGTTGAAGATACAAAGGATGAAGAGCTTAACAGATGCGGGTGTTGAGAAAACGAGCTACGAAGGGAAAGGCGACGCGAGGCAGGATAAGCGAATTCAGGTAAAGATGAATGAAGTTAGGTGGAAGGAAAGACAACATATGAGTTATTGTCTTGTAGCGTGGGCATGTCAAGTAAGGTAGCTAGGTCGGTAAGATAGAGCAGATCACAGCACACAGAGAGGAGGAGCTTCTCTGGTCAAGCCCAAAGACCTGTCCAACGGAATGGGGAGAAGTGGGGATGCTTGGGAGCTGGGAGATGGTTGCCGTCAGGGAAGCTTTCTAGAAAAGTGTGCACGGGCCTGTAGCGGGCTCGGGCTGCTCGGGCGCTTGTTTCCACAGACACTTCTGCTGCTCTTCGGTGCAGCTCCCGAACTGGGAAGAATCCAAGCTTCCTCTTTCATCCTAATAATCAAAGGATTGGACGGGCTGTGTAGATTTTGTCCTACTGTTCGTGTCGATTTTTTATGTTGCATCATGACATCGCCGAGAAACCTTTTCTTGGGGTGGATCTGCAGGTGACTGATTGCATCCTCTCCTATCATGCTTTTCCTCTTCTTAACACGCCAATGACCTGCAAGCCTGCCACCCTACTAACCTAAGAGACGAAGTCCACAGCAAACAAAACCCAGAATAGCTTTCTCCAATACTGGTAGAGCTGGCGATCTGTGTTAACTTTTATTAGTGCTCGTCCCTCATGATGGTGTTTTAAGACTCGATAGCTGAACCAGGTTGTGTCTTTTTCTTGCTTCACAAGCTCTGAATGCTGGTTTCTGGCTTGGTGTTAGCAAGGCCTATGGGCTACTCGACTAACCTAGGTAGTCGACGCCTTTGGTTCCCGAAAGCAGAATCACCCAAAGCAGCACAGGAGTTTAGGAACTCGAGGCCCCGCCGTGTTCATCTCTGTCTATCTGCGGGCGACTCTGGCATGCAATGAGGACGCTGGTTCTTCTTTAGTACATAGCCACCTAATAATCACAGCATTTCTTGTTCCTACAGACGGTGGGCAATAGAGGATTACATGGCAGTGATACATGATAGGAAGTTTCGTTAGACCTGAACGCTGCGGTTCTTGCTCTGGCTCGGCAAGCAAGCCCAGATTCAACAGGTTCAGGGCCACGAACTTACCATCCGTTGAGGGCGAAGGTAAGGTAAGTAGCTACTAGTTACTAGGTACCTTAGTTAAGGTGCATTTCCCTGTAAGGTTCTATCTTTCCGATAAACTTAGTAATAAGACCTCCCAAACACTAAGATTATTAAGACACTTATGATTTCTTTACACGATTGTTCTTTGCCGGTGAGATTCTATTCTCCCAGATTAAGAAGGCAATAAATTCTTCACAGATGAACTACCAACTATCTCATAAACTTTCACTTTAAAAGCATTCAATGACTTGATTCGAATTCAATCCTTTTCGGGCCAACTATAAGAAGGCCTACCTAACTCGACAAAACCAGTGGCCCTCAAACCACCATTCGTAGGTACTGAACGGCTTCTTCTTTACTCTCATCGAGCTACCCGGGTATCGTTCCTGTAATGATAAAAAGTACAAAAATCCCACCGCCTCCCCTACGTCCCCATTACTCCAGTCCGCGGCAAGTTTCCGATGCCGCGTGATAGCATGCTATATAGGGGTGACTTTTAACCCTACAGAGCAATAGAAATACATACAAAATGAACACCATAAAAAAGACGAGTCTCCCACGACCGCAACCCAAGTAAAGAAGCAAAATGAGATCAGCCAAAACCCCCCTGCGCCAAAGATAAAGCCGTCCGATTATATGCATTCTCCTGAACCTTGATTCCGAGCTGGTGTACTGAACCACGACTCTCTTCGTCAAACGCCGGCTCCTTGCACGGCTTGCTTGCCCTAACCGTACTTTCTTATTAGCATGTCTTTCCCCTTTGGTTGTAACGCTAAGTCTGTGCATTTCGCAGACTAACGATGACGCTTCGCTTCATATACGCGAAGGCCGACTCGATGGAATTGGACCCTTTTGCTTCTGGCTTCGACGCTGTCCATTCTGTTACATGCAGGTGAGCTGCATTCAAGATGGATGCACCGCCCGGCATTGTCCACCTCGACGTTAGTCACGTCGAAGTTTTCAGCTTCGTCGGACACGTCTCAAGACCCTGCCGCAAGGCACGAGTCCAATATGCCATCTAGCATATCGGCATCCTGACTTTCTGCACCCTCCCACCATGCTTCCGTGTCGATATCCATAGCATCAGGGTGACCATTCGCAAGCTCGAAAACGTGTCCTCCGTTTGCCTCTGAATCATGTTTCTCATCTGTGTAGCCTTCAGGTGGTTGGTCACACACCCAAGTGTAGTCATCCCAATTCTCCAGTTCCCCTTCCCGGTATCCGTATATAACCTGTGTCATCAACACAGGGAACTGTGCCATGCCAGTATCGGCCATCTCTAAGGACAGGCGAAGATCAGACATTCCCAAAGGGCCTCTCTCGCTCGCAGCTCTGGATTCAATCGGCAGAAGCCCACTCTTGTCTCTGGAGATCTCGCCTCGCATCGCAGCTTCTTCTTCGTATTCCAGCTGTCGCTTATACTTGTGCGTTTGAATCCATGTTGTTCCAACGCCAAACCCAGCACTACCTGATTCACCAGGTCCATTACTCCTCGTACGGCTGAAGACCTGTGTAAGGACCTCCTTGATGAAAGTTTCCACAGCCACCGACAGAAACTGGGGGGCGTCCGCTGTATGCCCGTTGACCAGTCCTGCCTCGTAGCAAGAGGGTAGCATTCGGCCGGAGATCATATTGATATCAGGGAATTCGCCAGATTCGACCGCCAAAGGTTGAGCATATCTTTTTCGAATTTCTAGGTCGAAATCTTGTATTTTTGTTAGAGCTTTGCCACAATAAAAGCGCTTTAATACAATACATACTCATGTTGTTTATGCCTCCTACTGTCGGGGTGGCATCTGTTACTGTAGAAAGTTTGCGACGTGTGTCTTCAAAGACGTTGGATATGCTCTCGTGCGGATCCCACTTATTACTGGTCAGCAGTTGGATAGGAGGCGGCATGAAGATACTGACATCGTTCTGGACCAAATCTTTGATGCGCCTGCGGTCTCGAGTTGGTAACTGCATTACATCTCCCTTCAACCTCCGCTCCGTAGCATCGCCGGATACTGGCTTGGTCCCTGTCGTCGCTGCAGGTTTATCGTTGGCGCTGACCCACGGGGCCAGGCCTTGATCGGGCATCTCTCGAGTAACATTTCCGTATATGGCAGCAATGAGATTATTGTGTAAGTGTTCCTTGTCCCCTGGGCCTGCGAGGATAGGGTCTATTCGTTCAGAATATTCGGCCTGATTTAAGCGTCCTAAGGATATGTGAGTAATTGCGCATATGTAGTTGATAGGTGTCGTAGCATCTACCTATTAGGAACTCGGTCGTTGATTCTTTATATATCGCCCATTTCTCGTTGCCAATGGCGGCCTTAAGTGCAGTATATAGCGGTTCGAGATCAATTCGGGCGGGAATGATCTGACTAGACTTTGCTATCTTGGGCGCACCAGAGATAGATCCAGCGAGTGTCTTGTTGGATAGAATAGGCGTCGAGAGGCTGACGGATGGACGGCTCAAAGCCGCGGGGTCGATGTCTGGCATCTTGATAGGAGTTGAATAAGCGACAGCGTCGCGTGCGACAGAATAGCGCGGCGCGACGCGATAAAAAGACGCATGAGTTGGATGAAACGAACGGGGGCTTTGACGCGATCACTGTAGTGAGATTAAGCTGATGAAAAAGGCATGTTGCGTCGTTTAAGTTGATGGGCGACTTGCTCTGCTGTTGACGTGAGGTTAAAGGTGAATGGATGGTTTCGAGTGTAGTTGGTTTTTGCCGCGAAGCACACCCAGCCAGGGATACATCAGAGCAGTGTGAAGGTTTTGTGTACTTGAACAGTTGCCTTAAAGCCGAGGGAGAGCAGGTCCCCGCTACATTCAACCTCTAAAAAGGCACTAAGCAACTCGCCCTGCAGCACCACTACCAACTTTGTCTGTCGCGCCTGTCGCGTCTGAGCTTCATGGTTCTAATCACGCTGATATTCAATTGGATAAGTTACCCAGAACTTTCGCCTGCGCATGTCCAATTTCTTGATTGAATTCTCTCCTGAACAAAGATTTTCTGCGATTATATTGATCTCCAGCCCCATACCTACTCTTGAGTGGCATGCGACGATGCCGTCATGGCCCCCGATCGCATCACCAACGCTATCGACAGCCTGATAACCCACATCGTGCCCAGTGATCCCAATGATCCTGAAGATGTTGCGCAAGAACGTCACGATACTTGCTTCGAAATTGTTAAATCTATAATAGACAGGTATGTATATCTTCTAAAATGTATCGAACAATATGCCAAAACTCACCATTCGTGGTCTAGTCCAGTTTCCCCCGCTATTTCTTCTGATGTCAACCATGCCTCCGACCTTATAAAACGAAAGCTCATCCAGAGCAATCCCACCCAAGCTCTGCGCTTCTCGAATTTATATACCCGATTACTTTCACTTCCTGTGCTGGAACACAAATGGGCAATACTCTATCTCCTCTATCAGCTTGCTGATTCTCCAGACCCTAGCGAACCGCTTCCACTGAGCCCAGTGAAGCCTTCGGCGCCCAATTACCGAGACGCCATCAGTCGCGATGCCATCAAACGGCAAGGCCGGGAACGTACCATTAAGGGCTCTCGATTCGAAGAGGAGCAGTTCAAGGAGGCGTTTCAATCAGAGGGACTCAAGAAAGTTCCACAAAAAGAGAGCAAGCAACCTAGCAAAGAGGGAGATCCACGTCTTGAGCCAGCAAAAAGAGACGTTTCGCTGAAATCAACCTTGCTGGCAAATAATTATTCGGAAATAGAGCCTCCGGAGTCAGTTATCCTGAGAGATCTTCCCTTTACTCTTCAGGGACTTTCATCCACCACACTACCTTTTGCAAAATCAGATCTTATCAAATTACCGGCGACACTTCCTTTACCAATCATTTCCCTACTTCACACTCTTGCTGAACCCTCGCTGCTTTATCGCGGCCTCGACGGGTTTTGTAAGACTCCTGCGAGAGGACTTCTAGGCCAAAGCCTCAGAGCTGCTATCCACGGTGAGCTTAAGTCATATTTGAGTTTGATAGCAACTCTTGAGAGTCAGATACGAAGAGCACTTGCATCTCTTGACGAGGAAGCTCCAAGAGAAGGTATTGGAAGAGCAGGTGTCACGCTCAAAAGATGTGTAGTATGGACACGCGAAGCAACGATGGGCCTCAGATTAATGAGCCTCATTGCTGAAGAATCCGAGAAGAACAGAGGGGGGCAGCTTGTCTCCCTGATTCATAGTTTCTCTTCTTCCCATGGAGATCCTGTGGTGGCTGCATTCGCAGAGAGACTATTAGGAAGTTTCACACGGCCATTCTACGACATTTTACGGCACTGGATTTACGACGGTGAACTGTCCGATCCTTTCCACGAATTTTTCGTCAGAGAACAGGCTCCCAACAAAGATCAGGCGAAGGCTAAGGGCGCAGGCAATGTCTGGGAGGACAAGTTCGAGATCGCTGCAGACATGATCCCCAGCATCATTACTCAGGACTTTGCCCAGAAGGTCTTTCTGATCGGGAAGTCACTGAACTTCATCCGACACAGCTGCGGTGATGCCATGTGGGTTGAGGATTACTCCAAAGCTGCTTCCAAAGAGTTAAGGTATGGTGACACGGCCACGCTGGAAGCTTGGATCGATGAAGCTTACAAGACCACCATGAAACGTCTCATTGACTTGATGGCCAACAAGTTTCACTTATTTAAACATCTTCAGGCGCTCAAGAACTACATCCTTCTAGGGCAGGGAGATTTTATCGCACTCCTGATGGAGTCTCTGGCTGCCAACCTTGATCGTCCAGCTGGAGCACAGTACAGACATACTTTAACGGCGCAATTGGAACACGCTATCCGAGGATCAAATGCCCAGTACGACTCTCCCGAAGTTCTACGGCGACTGGATGCTCGTATGCTGCAGCTATCCCATGGTGATATCGGATGGGATTGCTTTACCCTTGAGTACAAGATCGATGCACCTGTCGATGTTGTCGTGACAGAGTGGGGCAACAGGCAATACCTAAAAGTCTTCAATTTTCTCTGGCGTATCAAGCGAGTAGAATTTGCAGTACTGTCAACCTGGCGGAAGTGCATGACAGGTGCTCGTGGAGTTCTCCAGAACTCTGACCCTGCAGTCTCTCAAACGTGGAAGTCGACGCGCGGTGTTCTCGCCGAGATGATTCACTTTGTGGGCCAACTCCAGTACTACATCTTGTTTGAGGTCATCGAATCCTCGTGGGGCGAGCTTCAAAAACGGATCCAGAAGGAGGACTGCACTTTGGACGATCTGATCAAGGCGCATACACGGTACCTCAACGACATCACTCATAAAGGTCTCCTTGGAGCAAAGCGACGCACGCACAGCTCTGATGAAGATGACCGCACAACATATATGATGCAGCTTGGTGAAATCTTGAGGTTCATGCTCAGCTACCGAGACTCAGTTGACGGACTTTACAGTTGGAGCGTGTCAGACTTTACGCGACGTCAGGAGGCTGATGTACGAAGTACCACACGGCACAACGATGATCACGATGGCCTTGACACGCCGATGGCAGGTTCTGGTGGTGTGGCCTCCGAGTTCCCCGTTCTACAAGAGCGTCTTCGACACTTAGGTGCATCATTCCGAACTCGTTTGCAGATCCTCCTTGGTGATCTTGCATACCAGCCAGATGTGGATATGCGATTCCTCGGTGTTGCCATGAACTTCAACGACGTTTATCAGCCGACACGACGGAAGGTTAAGGCAGCTCCCGGAACTGCGGCGACGGCGCGAAGTGCTTCTACAAACAGAGGCGAGAAGTGAAGGTGGAGGCCTTTGTCTGGACGTTGGTTATAGAAGTTGCAATAGTTGTCATGCATAATGATATGGGACGAATCATGTTTGTAGGTAGGACAGGGGCTCAAAAGCGTATGCTTCTTTCATGCACCTGTAATAGACTCTT